TTACTAATATTATTATATTAATATTATACTACTATTAATAGTATGTTTGATAGGCAGAATCTTTAATAACTTGTAACTATGAGAAAGGAATTGGACCCAGGGCAAAATGTTGCTGACCCCTGGGCTAGGTTGGACATCTGTTCATTTTTGAAAGCCTTTGGTGATTTTTTTTTATGTTTTCTGTAATACAGTTTGAGGACCTAACCTGGGATTCAAGGCCCTTCACAATCTCACCTCACTAGTCTCCAACTCCCAAACCAAGTCCACTAGTAACACTGGTCTACCCACTGCCCTGAAAACACACATTATGCATTCTCACCTCTGAGTATCTTTAGTTCAGAACCATTCTCTTAGTCTAGAACGCTTCCATGTCTTCTCTAGTTATCTAACACTATTTTTTTTCTAGTCACCCAGCTTTTTTAAGCAGATATTTTTCTGAAAAGATGCTGTGATTCACATCAAATAGTGAAATGGTTTTATTTTCCTCAGTGATCTCCCATTTCAATTGAAGTCAAAGTCAAAGTCATTAAAATGCTACCTTCTGGGCACCTGGGTGGCTCAGTTGGTTGGGCAACTGCCTTCAGCTCAGGTCATGATCCTGGAGTCCCGGGCTCGAGTCCCGCATTGGGCTCCCTGCTCAGCGAGGAGCCTGCTTCTCCCTCTGACCCTCCCCCCTCTCGTGTACTCTCTCTCATTCTCGCTCTCTCAAATAAATAAATAAATCTTTAAAAAAAATGCTACCTTCTGACCTCAATTCCTACTAGTCCCTCCTTGCTCCTTCTGCTTCATCCACACTGAACTTTGTGTTCTTAAACTGTCCTAGCACACTCCTACCTCAGGGCCTTTGCACTTGCTAATCTCTTTACCCCCAGAGAAGAGTTCTACCCCCAGAGAAGAGTTTAAGGCTTACTACTTTCCTTCATGCTTCCCCCCCCCCCAAGTATTCTCATATTTAAGAGACCTTTTTTGATCACACTATATGAATAGTGCCTTCCACTCCAGCACTATCAATTACCTTTGCCCTGCTTTATTCAGTGTCATCTGATGTATTATATACTTCACTTGATCTTAGCCAAAAGGCCGAGAAGTGATTGATGTATTATATACTTATTTATTAGCTATTTCTTCCCAATTGGAATGAGGTTGATGAGGCATCTCTATTAGCTAGAACAGTACCTGTCAAATAGTAGGTTCTTAATATATCTGTTGATCAAGTGATTTTTCCCAGACTAAGAATTCTTTGGATTGTATAATTTATTTAGTGCACTTTCAGAAGATATCCTTTGGAAGTGTATTGACTATAATTTCATTTTAGGATGTGAAGATGAAATAAAAAGTCAAAACAAGTGATATATTGCCACTTTAACATTTGGCTCTAAAAATTATCATTTACTTATTCATTTAAAAATATTTGTAGTACTAATTATTCCTAGGGACTAATAACAAAAGACACAATCCATGCCTTCATGGCGTTTATAATCTAATAGGGGAGAGTATTAGGGCTAAATATATGCTTACTAATTGTGCTAAGTGCTACCAAAAAAAATAATAATAATAAACTTGAACACCAGGAGAGAGACCAGCGGGTGAACATTGGGCCCAGGGAAGTTCCCTCCCCACAGTGAGGACTGGACAAGTTAACACAGAGCTGAGGGAGCCAAAGAAGAAAGTGTGAAATTTAGAAGATCCTATTACTTCCAGTAGGTCCTAAACTTCACCTGGGTTTGTTCTGATAATGTAAAGATTGAAATCATAGCATGGCAGTTTCTTTTTAACTTTCTGAGTTTCTATATCAATGTAATTCTTAGAAAATATGTAAAAAAATAGTAAAGTTGAACTGAATAATTACCTGGTACCAATTTGAAAAAGTTAGGCCTAAAATTCCTCCGTGGTTCATTAAAATCTTTCTGGTCTAATGATTTGTATGTCCAACTCAGTAGCTACTAGCCACCTAGGTCTGTTTCATGTTATTTCTTAAAATGTGACTGCTAGAAAAATTTAAAATATATGTGTGGCTCACATTATATTTCTGTTGGATAGCTCTAGTCTATATAGCTGCAGAGATTGCTTTTTTTACGTTGGCAAGGCTAGGAGAATTACCAACTGAATAGTGTGAGAGCTAAGTAGTTATTGTAATTATTATACTAACGCTAAACCTCTACAGATAAAAATTGTGGCTATCTCTCATTCTGCTTGTCTAAATTCCATTTCCCCCTTTTTAGATAACAACACCTCAGTTTTCCTTTAGGGCTCTACTCCTCCACATTTCTCTGCAGGATTCTTATCTCAATGCCTCTGCAGGTTATGTGATCCAGGCTAGCCAATCAAAGTACAGCATCCCCTCCTCCACAAGGATGGGCTCAGGGTCGGGCGTGTGACCCAGGACAGGACACGGAGGCTCAATCCCAGGACTTTTGTTAGAACTACTGGGAAAGAAAAGCACTCTTTCTGCTCCAGTGGCTAATTTGTGAGGAAAATAAATTGGGAGCGACTGTTGGAAACTAAACTTTCTTGGTCTTGAAACCAATTAGAGGCAGGAAGAGATCGATGATAGATCTAAAAAGGTTTATCTGACCGTACTGCTTGATCTGGATCCAGGTGTTTTTGAAGCTGTAACCTTTCCTAGATATTTTAATCACATACCCACTTTGTGTTTTAGCTAGTTGAATTGAGTTTTGGTTATATGCACGTCCTCATTAAGGTAATCATTGACACATACGCACTGGCTGGAGGTTCTTCGAGGAGAATTAACAAGTCTTCTAACGAGCACTAATTAAGTTGGCACAAGCCAATAGAATAAAATCAATTAATGATTTTTCTAAGTTGGTAATTTCTGTTAATCAGTTATATCTCTTCTAATTAAAACCCTACCAGGACATAATCTATATGATTTTTGCCTTGAAAATTGTAAGAAGTAATACCAGACATGTGAAGGAATACTGATTTTAAAGGCTTTCAAAGAAGATTTTTCCTGTTGTCATGATGCTGGATGATTATATTTGTAAATGTCTTTTAGCCATGAGACCAATTTCTAGTTCAATTCAATTGTATAAATGTGTAATTGTTGATAATTTATCATCATCAGAGTGTAGGAATCTTACCAGAATTAGTAATTAGCTAACTCAGGGAGTTTTATGAGAATACCCAGTTAATTTTGATAATCTCTGTGTTGTTCTTTCCTTTTAACAATATCCTTCAAATTAAATACGTTACCTGGAAACACCAGCAACATTCTGAACCATGATGTTGAATTTTCATCTTTAAGTTTCAATCTCAGCTCAGTCACTGACTTTCTACTCTAAGCAAGTCACAGCATCTCTATATGACAACCTAGGACCTGTACCTATAAGAGAACTTGAACTGCTTTGAATGTAACACACCCTCACTGTTGTAGTTAGTTACTTATATCTGTGGGTAGCAGTCTTGATGGACTGTAACTGCTAGTTAATTTAGCTTTACTATAAGAAGAAAGCTATAAATAACAACAAAAAAAACCCTGCTAAACATTTTTTTAGGCAACTTCCTGTACATAGACTTGGGTTAGTAGCTCAGTTTCCTCCTTTTAAAATCCACATCTATGATAACAGTAGTTGATCCAATATAATAAACATACATGTAAAGAAATACTTCTCAGATGTTTGGAGAACCTCACTCTTCAATGAAAACTGAAATTGTATTTCGTATGTTTTTCCGACATAGGAAGATTTTTCAACTACAAAGATCAAAACAAAAAGTATTTTCTACCTCAGAAAATTTAATCTGAGGTCTTCTAATCTTTGAGTCTTTCTCGTTATCTGCTAGTACATATATGTGTGTGTTCATATATGTACACACATTATACACACATATACTCGCACATACACATTTGGCTTCGGCACATTTTGACCGTTAGAGAATTCAGTGAAAAAGACTATCTTTGTTTTCTTTGTAACTACCCAGCATAGAGGTGTTGAATGCATTGGCTAACTTTTTATAGGCAATATATTAATAAAATAAAAAATTACTATAAATGCAGAGTTTCATTTCCATTAATACTGTGCATGGAGCATATTCTTAGTGACTACGTGCTTCTAAAAAGATTTTGTGATAAAGTCAGTGGAAAATACAATATAGGAATGAATTACCTAAAAATAATTCCATTTGGGTTGGTCAAGAGCATTTTGGTGGGATGGACTTTAACAATCACATGGTTGGTACAGATATATTCAGACATAACTTTTATCTCTATGTGTAGAGTCCTTGGGATTCCTGAGTGCCCTCCATTTTTAATACCCATGGCTTCTTAGTCATCTAATTGTGAAAAATTAGAGATTTGGCAAAAGAAAAGTGCTCTAATACAAACAGGGACCAATGGAAAAGAGAGACAAAAATGCCATCAAGGCTTAGAACTGGGTAGAGGAGGATACTAATAGGTTGAGATTTTGACCAACTTCAAGGGCAAGAAGTGAGGCCTTGAGGACAGAGGCAAGCTTAGGGCCCTTACCCTGAGATCAGCAGCATCTGGACAGAGATATTTCAGGGGGAGGATCTGGTGGTCTACAGTTTCAAGGAAAACCATGCACTACACTGGAGATGAGACACAGGCCCTGAGAAGGAGGAATCACCAGTCCTGCACCCCTCCCCACCTCCAAACCGTGGAGTTAAGTTACCTAAGGCTGTTTTCCTGGATACGCACCGTGGACTAAGGCGGGGAAATTTTTGTGATAGGGGATCCAAGAGAGGGAGAAGAGCACTAAGGTATTGAAGCTCTTTTAGTGCTCTTTAGTGCAAATCTTTGGTTTTAAGTAGCCTAAAAGCAGCAATTTTTACTTGAACTAGCCTGGCTCCATGTCTACTGAAGACCTACACGTGCTGGGATGTTGCAGGTTCACACGCAGTTGTCCCCTGGAACCTCTGCTAGAATATGTGGGGCATGGAGGGAGGAGAGGGAGGAAGAGAGAAGAGGAAGGAAGGGAAGAGACGGAGAAAAGAGAGAATTAAAAAACCTATGGAGAAGTTACCTTTCTTCTTTCTTCTGCAGCCTCCAGTTTTTTCTGGATCTCCTCCAGAGACAGGTCTTTCTTCTTCGGAGAAGCTAAAGTTCGTGGGGCTTCTGAGATGGGAGATGGTGGCTTCAGGATCAGCTCAAAAGCCTGGCCAGAAGCACGTTTGTTGATTTGCTTCACTTCCATATCTGAGTAATGAATATTTGAGAATGTTAAGCATACAGAGCAGTGAAGCAGGGGTGTATTTAAATAATTTGAATTCTGGCAATTGCAAGTAGCCTTGTTATTCTGGCCAATAGGAATAAATGCTGCCTGTGATTATTGTCCTACATGGTTTTGAACATACAAGACCTCTTTCTTTAGTATCGTTACAGATATATTCCAACAGAATAAATATTTACAGTGTTGGGAGATTCAACAATGTCCATAGGGAGTCGAATAATGGCGAGCCTACTTAGGAAAAAAGAGCCTGAATTGATTTTAAACTGAACTGTATTTTCCTTTTGAATAAACATGAGCTTCACATGAAAATAAAGTAGCACAGACTTAGATTTATCTTTTGAAAATTACCATGGCTGGAGGCATTTTTGGGCTAAATGGGGAAGAAAAAATAACAAAGGTTTATTGGAAATTTGACATGCTCTACCAATTCTTCTAGGAAGCAGTGCACGAGCAATGTTGAATTTATCTATTATCTAAGACTCAGCTTATCCATAAATTCTGACTTCCTTTTTCCCTTGTCTTCAATCCCTAAAGCTGTAGAACCTGTCACTGTTTTCCCTGTCTTCCTAATACATTTTGTGTCACCTCGAGTTTAGCCCTTAATCACACTGCGGTTTGCTTACTGATTATTTGTACATTGTATGTATGTTTCTTCTTGTCGGCTCTAAGTTCCTCCAAGGAGAGGCCTGTTCTGTGTTTATCTTTGGAGCCTCTGTGACAACACATAGCAAGGTATTAGAATTCCAGGAGGAACGTGGCTGGCTTGCTGGTCACAGCTGTATCTAGCCGAGGAAGCATCTGTCCGGTTTATCCGTTGACTGAATGAACCTACACAAAGTGGGCACTGAGCCTGCATTCTAATGAAAGTTCTGGTTGGCAACTGAAACCCTTTCCCCTGAAAGACATTGCCTTGTGAAAGGGTTAATTAGCGTTTATGACACTTGTGTTGTGTTAGCAGAGCTTGGGAAGGAAAGAGCCTCTGAGCCCTGGGCTGGGCTTGAAAGGCACCGAAGGGGTTAAGTGCCACAGACGCCTTCAGCTGGTCTTTAATGTATGTCTTTACACATATGGAAAAAAAAACATGATAAGCTGATAGTCTATAAGCAAAATATACCTCAGCTCTGACTGCTACACACAGAACTCTTTCAAACATTTTAATTACACTGACTGGATTAAGTGAGGGTGAGATCATTGGCAATGATAGCTAGCATTTTTGAGGGCTTACAAGCGGTCAGGCTTGGTGCTAAGCATTTGACTTGTGTTAGACCATTTAAACCCTATACCAACTGTGCGAGGAAGATACGAGAGTTAAATAAGCCTCAGAAAATCTAAGTTACTTGCCTGAGGTCAGGCAGATAGTGGCAGAGCCAGGAAGAAAAGCAAACTAAGTAGAATGAACTTGGATAAATCCAACGGAAAGTGTTGCACTACAGTGAAGTTCATAGTCATGCCAATTCTTTAGGCGTTTTTTTTTTTTTTTTTTTTTAGTTCTCTTTATCTGGGGCCTCAGTCATAAGTCACTTTTATCATGGGAACTTGTTAGCTTGTTGACATGCATACTCAAAATATGGGAACTTTATGAAGACTATAATAAGGGGGAAACAATGATGGCTGTTGATTTTTTTCTTTTGAGTTTCCTAAGTATAAAGCATTTTCTTGCAAATTACTGTTTGGTCTAACTAAAGCTTAGCATATTATATTATTTGCAAAGAAAAGCTTTAGACATGTTGTCAATGTTGATATGCTGGATGTGGCTTCTAACAACCATCTAGCTCTGTTTCTTAAGAGATATTAATGTGCTTTTGTTAGCATCAAACTCAAACTGTTTTAGGGGCACCTGACTTGCTCAGTTGTTGGACATGTGGCTCTTTCTTTTAAAAAGATTTATTTATTTATTATTTTAGAGAGAGAGAGAGCACATGGGGGGCAAAGGGCAGAGGGAGAGGGGGAGAGAGAGAGACTCTCAAGCGGACTCCCTGCTGAGTGTGGAGACCGACATGGGGCTGGATCTCACGACCCTGAGATCATGACCTGAGCCAAAATCAAGAGTCTGGCGCTTAACCGACTGAGCCACCCAGGCGCTCCAAATGTGTGACTCTTGATCTCAGGGTTGTGAGTTTGAGCCTGATGTTGGGGTTAGAGTTTACTTAAACAAAACAAAACAAAACAAAACAAGAAACCCTCAAACTGTTTTGAGCATAGGCAATCAATAAGACCAAACAGCTAGACACAGCAAGTCAGTAGTGAGATCTACAAAATATTGATTTAATTCTATCAGGAGCTGTGAGAGAGAAACAAGTGTATCTAAGCTTTTCCAAATGATGTTAGCAGGAGCATTTCTATTGTAGGCAACTCACCATCATAAGTATAGATGTTGATGTTGCGAGGTTCCGGGTAAAAACAAGAGCAGATCAGTGACAGCATGGACAGCTCCTTCATTTTTTCCTTGTAGGCTAAAATAAAAGACTTGTGATTAGTATCTTTCATTTTCTGAGTTTCCTCTTAATGCTTCTTTTCATCTAAGTAACAGTTACAGACTCTTTCCGAATGAATATTGCCAGGGACACGGCTTTGCAAAATATAAGTGAAAGAGAGATTGAAACAGGACTCTCAAGAGCATATTCCTTATTACAGAGGACATAAATGACACATTATAGCAGGTTAGATAAAAAGTGAGAGAAAGGTAGTGAGAGAAAGAAAGGAAAGTCAGAAGAATTGAGATCCAGCAGGACAGGGAGGAGAGACAGAAAGGACATGGAAGAAGCAAAACCAGACAAAATTAGCAGAGAGATAGGTCCATCCGAGTACATGCGTATGTAAGTCTACTGGACATAAGTATGATTCAGGAGGTGCCCTTTGCTGCTTTGGCCTGAGTGGCCATGGATTCAGTCAGGGACAAGCAGAGAACCATCAGGATATTCTCAAGTGGATGCATCCTCCAAGAATCTATGTTTCTGCTTCCTCTTTATCCCCGAGTGCACTTTCTTGTTGCAACTTCTTTCCACACACCATAAAGCTAGATCTGAGATCTTACAAGGCTCTTGTTTCCTCTGCGGAACCCGGTTTGGGTGCCCACCTTGCCAAGGAACTGTAGGAGTTCAGTGAGTGATCTCCCTCATCCTTCACTCCCCCTCCCTATTTCATTTTTCCCTGTCTCTGTCAAGAGGCCTCCCGCCCAGGTAACTTGGGAAGGCATCTCATCAGTGCTGGTTGTCACCAGGACAAGAGAGGACCAGATGGAGATAAGGAAGTGAAATCTTCTCACCATTGTTGATTATCAATAAATTAAGAAAAATGGAAGAGAAATGATAGGTGTACTGTGCACTAACTTGCGTAAAAATATAAACAAATGGCGATGCCCTAACATGTTGAATCTCACAGGTAATGGTTCTCTTTTGGCAGGGGCTTCTGATCATTATGGTAACCCAAGGAAGGGTGAGTACCTTGGGAAGACAGGAATTCCCAGAAGATTAATTTGAGGCATTGTTGACAAATCCATCTTTTGTTGGCTAACAGGAAACAGATTTAACACCCATATGTTTTAGAGCTACAGAATGCTAGATTCAGAGGGTCCTAAAAGATCATTTAGCTAAGCGTCCACCCACCACACCACCAATTATGCAAATGAAACTGGCACCCAGAGGCTAAAGTCACATGTGGCCTCCAGATAAAAATGCAGTAAATCAATCAATATCAAGATTGCCAAGAGGTCTTTTTCTATTTCTACTTTTAGGATGAGGTTCAGTGTGTCAAGGTTGGACATACTTGCATATCAATGAACCACATGCAAAGATCAAATATTGCCATATTGTATATGGTTCAAACTAACACATCCAGAGGGTCACTCTAAGAGAATTTTTCTCCCTGTTTAGCTTATTTCCTTTAAAATAAGCAACACAATTTGCCTTTTGCATAACAGTCCTGCTAACACCTACTTTGAGAGATTTCATTGGATGCCTTTGGAATTTTAGAAGGCTGAAACCATATTTCTTTGTCTTATTTGTTTATTTAGTTAATAAATTGTGTCACTTATAAAGGTCTAAGCAGGTCTTTACATGGATGCTTAGTGTGAATCACAGTTTCTGTCAGAGAGAAGCATTTGGTGGTTTAATACATTTAATTCCATGAAGAATAAAATTCAAAACAGCTAGGTTTTGTAGGCGGGTGCCTTTTTTTTTTTTATAAGAGAAAGCAATATGGTATCCAAAATATTTTGAAAAATTAAGCACATATTAGGAGCACGTTAGAGACACCAACTTTATTAGGGAGGGCCAACCCAAAAATAAAAATAAAATAAGATTCTCTATCTCATAGAGCAGTAACAGATTAAAATAGCACTGTAGAAGAACATGAATTTCTACTGAAAAGAACACTCCTCAACATCTGTCTTCAGTTTCTTGGAAATGAAATTCAATAATTTTTAGTAAGGCCACTGCTCTATTATACTTGATAGGTTAATGAAGGCAGAAGATGTAAAGGTTGTCAAGGACCAACACTTTAGACCCCTATGTGTAATGTATAACCATGACTGATAAAACGTTTGTTCTTTCCTCTTCTAGGTGGTTTGGGGACAAAACTCAATTGGCCTCTGTGGGTGATTACTTAAGAGAATCCTTACATTGTTTTTATTGAGGCCCATGACTCTCCATGGCATGAATATACCCAGTAGCAGCCATTGCATAGATTCTCACTCATACAGTTGCTCTGAATCCTAGGGAGCTCCTTAAAACCACTTGCAACCAAAGTCCAAGCACATCTTGACTCTTTTCCTACAACAAAGGCACGCTCTCCAGTGAAGAAGGGTTTCCTGTTCACTTGGTACAGCTGCCCAAACTTTCCCCACATGGCATTGCCTTTCCTAATCCCCTCCTCTCATCTAAATTCTTGCCAAAATTTCAATCCCAATTCAGATCCTCCCTCCTCAGGGTTTCTGTTTCTTAGCAGTGCTGCCCACATTGATCTCCCATTGCCCTTAGTTGGCTGTACTACACAATCTTGATTATATACTGTTATATGTGATTCTATACTGTCTAAGATCAGTCACTACTGGGTTTTGATGTGTAATCTTTGTTTATAAAACTGTAGGCTCTTTGAAGGCAAATGCTACATCTTACTCATCTATGAAAAAAATCACAGCACAGGTCTGGGTGGAAAAGGAGGTTATTGCTTAATAAATCATTGTTGGCTAGCTTGCTCATTGATTTTAAGTCAATCTCTCAATTAACAAGTATTTATGAGCACCACTGATGGGCAGGAGTTTCTGTGAGGCACTATGGAATTACAAAGAAATATAATAGTTATCCTCATTCTCAAGAAGCTTTCAAACCTGGGAAGTGGAGTATATGGATATAAAAATATGGAGTATATGGATAGAAACTCGTGCAAAATAGGGTGTCAAATGGAGGTACAGGTGATTTGTGCTGGAAATTCAGAAGGACCTCAAAGCCTTGATGCTATGGGGAGAGGGGTCAGGAATGGCTTTACAGTAAGGATTGCCAGATTTAGCAAGCAAAATACAAGATGCCTACTTAAGTTTTAATCCAAAAATTGCATGGGACATACTAAAGAATCATTCCTTGCTTTTCTGAAATTCAAACTTAATTGGGTGACTTGTATTTTATACAGCAACCAGAGCAAATGAACCTGGATGGTAAAGACTGAATAGTGTTAAGGAAAACAAGGAAGGGAGAAGGTAGGTTTATTATTGTTGACATGGAAATGGGGTTCTGAAGGAGCTATCTGGAAGGCTTTTATGGGTGGGCAGTGAGTTGAGTTCATGCAAGAAATGATAACTCAACTATAGGGAGCATCATTCACTTCATTTTCATGGACTACACGACAATGAGGTTTTCAGGAGTTGTGCCCTGATAGAAAGACTTCCTGGAGGTCAGTTTTGCTCTAAGATGTTGGGTAAGATGTTTTGAATTTTTGTTCATGTGAAAAGGTTATGACTTAAGATATTGTGTTTACATTAAGACAACCATAGGTATATATATATATTTTTTACCAGAATGTCAGAATATCATGAATTTTCCACATGTTACTTAAAATAAATTTAAGCTTGAGTGTTCTGTTTTGAGTCCACTCTCAGGAATATTTCCATGGGAAAATATGAGAAGCACAGAGGTGAGAATGAGTGAGTTAGCTAGAAGTCCTGTTTGCTTGCATAGTTCTGATTGAAGCCCATTAATAATATCCTCATTCACTATCAGAATTTGGCCATTACAATTATCTTAGCAAGAGGCAGCCTCTGAACATTTTGAAAAGGGGGGTTACCTGATGAAAGGCTCTTCTTAGAAAGATTTATCTAGTCATTTTATTATGCAAGAAGGACCCGTTACAGGAGATACACTTAAGACACAACTGAATGAAGTTCAGCAAGTAATGTGGTATGGCTTAAGAAAATAGTAGGGAATAGCAAAGGGAAAAGAAAGGGAAGATAGATACAAGAGACCTTATGAAAGAAGAATAGATAGTAAACAATAACTGTATTTGGAGTCAAAGGCAGAGGGAAGAGGGCAAGAGATCCTTATAGATGGGTGGTTAAGGAAACTTTCCAGACAAAGTGTCACTAAAGCTGAGTCCAGCAGGATAGGTTGGCCTAGCAGAAAATAGAGTGTGGGTTGAAATATATGGAATTTGGATAAACATTTTTTTTAAAGATTTTATTTATTTATTTGACAGAGAGAGACACAGTGAGGGAGGGAACCCAAGCAGGGGGAGTGGGAGAGGGAGAAGCAGGCTTCCCGCCGAGCAGGGAGCCTGATGTGGGGCTCGATCCCAGGACCCCGGGATCATGACCTGAGCCGAAGGCAGATGCTTAACGACTGAGCCACCCAGGCACCCCAGGATAAACTTTTTTTTAAATCAACAATGAAAAATCCCAAGCTAATGTGAAGGCTGTTAGAAATGTGCTAATAAGATTTCACTATTGATATTTCATACTTTGAATTGACAATCCCGTTCATTGGTTTTGGGAAGTTGGCATATATTATTTTTTTCATTACACCCCAACACCAAGTAGAGTTCTGTGCATGTTTGTGAGGATGTGGGAAGTAACAGGTAATTCCATATAATCTTTCTCATAGTTGGTTGCATTTGCTATTAACTATTAATGTTTGCAAGTTAGTGTATTTCTCTAGTGAACTCATTTAAAATTCAACCCATATGATGTATAATGATTCTATAGCAATACCCATGTAACCTAATGATCTATGAATGCTAATTATTTTTCCAGTCTTCCAAATGGCTACCGTGAACTATGAACCATGGTAGCAGTTGCTATTTGGGTTTGGAGCACAAAGAACGTATCAGGCACTGAGTTCAGATATTTGCATGCATTTCTCATTTAATCCTCTCAACAATGCTGGGAGGAAGATACTATAATTAGACTAGATTTACAGATGAAAGAAAAAGATGCAGGGACATGGAGTAGTTTGCCCAATATCCAACA